AATCATCTGAAATGAATATCGAAGTTTTATTATGAAAAACTGGACCTGAGGTTCAGTTTGTGTGTGGGAATCGTCACGTTTCAAGTTAAAAATCAGGGACAAAGTTACGCTGGTGGCCCTCTTCCATCCATTAGATTTAAAAATGTCTTAAGCAGGAGAAATCCAATTGGACCGATTCCTCAGGCCATATTGATCCTGAAACTCCTGATTTCTCTGGACGGTGCTCGGTCGATACCTCTAAGCTATCAAATATCCTCCTGTATAAAACCTGCACTTAGCTAATCCTTCCAGTTTAGAGGTCAAGGAGTCAACTTCATCTCCAAATATTTCAGCTGCTGACAGAGAGACATTGGGCTGTGTCATTTTTTGCGGGTATTGATTTGGAGAATGCCGATTGGGAGCATCACGCTGGATCTCGTCGTGTGATTTCCCGTCAACAGGACGAAGCACTCTCCCCCTGCGGTCCTGCGGATTGCAGTGGAGGCTGGGGGTGGGGATTATCCCGGGGTTCTGCAGCGCTCAGTAAGCGCTGCGATGACTCAGTGGATAATGAGCCAGTTTGTGATGTGTGCTGCAGGGTCTCTGCCAGGTAGCAGTAATGAAGCACAGACCTCTGCAGATTCCAGCAGATTTAAATCCAGCTGTTATCGCCCTGTTCACTACTGCTTGATAGGATTTCAGTCATATCTGCGTATAATCTGGCACCTTGCTCTCAGAAAAAAAACCCAAGAGATGCTGATTTCTTTCAAACAGACTGCAGAGTTTAGGACCCACATTAATTTAAATTCCACATAATCTGATCATCGGCTGAATATTTTAAAGTTCACATATGGAATATCTACGTGGGACGTAGAAAATAATAAAAAGATTATGCATTTCCTTAACCTTAAGTTCACTATTAACTTCAGTTAAACTGCTAAGTGAAGTAAGTCTAGAAATCTACTAAAAGAAATGAATTCTGCAATAAACTTAGCTGCAATTACCCAATAAATCTCATAAGTTAAAACAAATTCAGTAATTTCCACTCACATGATTTATTGTTTCTATCTTTTTAGACCAAAAACTGGATGACAAAAGTTTTCGGTCTGGAGTTTTGGTCTCAACTAATCTTTTTTTTTTCAAGAAGAAGAAGAATTGTATTTTCAGAAACTTCATAACTGATTTTATTTGCTGTTTCTGTTTTGTTTATTTATATTGGATATTTAAATGTCTTCCAGTTCCCATTATAACTTAGTTTATCAATCTTTGAGAATCTAATCTTATTAGCTGAAAATGGTCTCAAAACAACAATGTTATTGTTTATCTCAATGATAAACAATAGGACAGTTTATATGGCAGGTCTAGTTGTAAATACATGAACTTATTCTGTATTTTAATGACACATTTGAACCTATTTTTCCCAAAATAAGAGTTGAACACTAAAAAATATACCAACTCATCAGCTTTAATGATGTGTTGATTCACCTTGTCATGGTAAAACAGTGCGAGTTTTGACCATTTTTCCAAAAGGGCATTGATGAGGTCAGACACTGATGTTGGACATTAGTCACTAGTTCATAAAATCCCTTCAAGGTTATGGTTCTGTGCAGGTTCTATACTTAGTAACTCAGTTTCGAAGCCCCGTCCAGTAATATCTGCACCACTAAAACATTTATAAACCTAAGTTGTTCAATCCTTTCTACACCCAATTTTTGCATCATATCTACTTTAATACATTAATTTCAATTACATGGATTTTAAGGCGATAAAAATGTGAATGCAATTAAAAACATTTTGGTTTTATATAAAAAGGTTCGGGCTGGAACCTTCGTGGTCGTATGTTTCTGGTACGCCAGTAAATCCGACGCACAAGCAACATTTGCAAACAGCAGAGATGGACGTCGCTTCTCTTTTTCAAGTGGTGGTCAATTTTTGCTTGAAAGAGCAATCTGATGGGACGCTGGGAAAGACTATTGTTGGGTTTAAGTTGTGCTAACAGAAGTTAGCCTACAATAGCATCTCAATGCTAAATGACTTGCAGCAGCACAGACAGTGCCATGCTAATGTTAGCATCCACAGTTCAGATTTCTAAAGAAGTGCAATGAACGATCAAGAGTCCCTGAAACTCTGTTGGTTGAATAACCTACATAATAGATTAAAAACAATAAATAACATTGGTGTTGAGCTTATATATGTATTTATTGAGTAATTTAACAGCAGAAAAGGTTTTTGAAATTGAAATGTTGCTTCTTTTGTCATTATCTTTCCACCACTAATTGAATACCAACATTGAAGAAAGTCTTGGTAAAAGCACAGGTGATTTAAATGTCCACATCTTCCCATACGGACACTAATGTTGTTGTAAATCAGTCGGTATGATTTGCTAAACAGAAAGGATTGTAAATCGATGCCAACTCACGAGGAAGGCGCTATTTCTTTCCTACACCTGAATCAGGCAGAGCTCATTTATATGCAGCACTGCTTGCCGTACAGTTGGTGAGGGTGAGACACTCTGACCTTTTATACCATGACAACATGCCATGCAGTAGTTGTTGCAGCTGCTTTGCAATTCATGGCTGGCCTATTAAATGTGGTGCGTGAAATAATGTCATCAGGTTTGTGTAATTAGCAGCAATGCGAACACGAAGAATATCTGCAGTTGCACCTCATCACCGGCGAAAGCCAGACATCCTTTTAATTACTTACTGTTGGAAATTTTAAGAAAACAAGGAGATTTCTGAGCACCAAAAAGCCCTAAAATTGCTATAAATTTGCTTCAAAAAAATCTGAAGTTTTCTAGAAAGAAAGCCTGGAAATTTCAGTTTGAAAAGTAAAAATAAAATCCCTTTTTTCCCCCTAAGGACAACAGCGAATTACTGACAATTTCCCTCTTTTGGAAATTTCTGGGTTTCAAAAGTGGAACATTTTCAACTTTTCAAACTCAACTTCTTTGTTTTTTCTATGACTTTTCCAAACCTAATCTAAAAATTGTAACTCCTTTCCTCCTCCTCTACCTGTAACGGCCCTGGTACGCCGCCATGCGTTTCTGCTAAAGAAGCGTTGTTTGTTTCTACTTTAGCTCCTGCTGCCGGCTGGGAAGTCGGTGACAGCCGCCTGCTGCTGAAACACTTCCAAACACGGCGCAATATGCATGACTGCGGCTGCACGGGTGTCATTTTATGGCCAGAAAAAGTCGGTGAAATGACTTGTAAATGGGAGACAGCGCATTATGGAGGCCGATCTCTGAGGTTACATGCTCTGCTGCTCCTGTTGGCCTTTTTGCTGATTTAAATCGAACAGTCAATCTTTTGTGTCCACTCATGCTAAAAAGACAAAATCCTTTATTTTGTCGTCCCATCTTCAGCGCCAACAAGGGTGGAGAAAATCTCCTTTTAAAGTAAATATCTCATTACTTTTTTAAAGAATCTGCATATTAGTCTGGACGTCATTTCATGGTTGACCACCGCGTCGCCACAGATGTGAGCAGAAATGACAGAGATGTGTTAGAAAAGCAAAAAATAATGGCTTGTTTTTGTTTCTTTTGAAGTGCTGATGTTTGAAGCGCCTTCAATTTTTTCACACCTTCAACAAATGCTGCACATGCAAAAAGAAAAGCTTTTTCATCTGCTCATTGTCAAATGCACAACAAATAACTTTGTTGAAAAAGTTAATTATAAGAAAGACATAGTGAAAATAAAAATGCTCTCAGACCAAACATCTCTTTTCTGTATTGAAGGAAACTTGAAATGTTCAAAGGCAACGCTACCAAATACTGGGAAAAAGTCTGATTTCTAGTGCAAATATCTTAATACACTTAAAATAAGACAAAACTAACTTACAAGTAACTTTTCATCAAAATACAGGAGCTTGTTTAAAGTAAATAATTCCTTAATATTGACAGAAAAAGTACTAGTTCCACAGCATTTCTTTCACCAAAAATTTAACTCATATCTTGCTGAGAAGTCATTCACAATGATCCAACTAAAGCTGCGAAACAGAAGCAGTCAGACACAATTAGTTGTTTTTCCATCCATTTATTTTCTTTTGCTTTATCCGGGGTCGGGTCATGCCTGAGCATGGTGTTCCTTATGGACAATTTGTGACGAGCGCATAAGTCCAACAACAGAACACCACTCGAGTTCAGATTGGGGGTTGCTCCTCCCAACCCCCCCAGGTCTCACGGTCGTTGCCCATATGAGCGTTGAAGTACCACAGCAGAAGGAGGGAGTCCCCAGGAGGGGCACTTTCCAGTACCCCCTCTAAGGACCCAAAAAGGGTGGGGAATCTGAACTGGTGTTCGGCCCGTAAGCACAAACGGGCCGAACACCCGTAGGCGGAGGGAGGCTGTCCTCTCGTTCACCGGGGTAAATCCCAACATACAGGCGCCGAGATGGAGGGCAACAAGCACGGCCATCCTGCCCGGCGCCTCTCACCGCGGGCAACTCCAGAGTGGAAGTACGTCCAGCCCCTCTCAAGGAGACCGGTTCCAGAACCAGAGCCATGCGTCGAGGTGAGACCGACTGCTTCTAGCCGGAACCTCTCAGCCTCCCGCTCCTCCGGCTCCTTCCCTCCAGAGAGAGGCAGCTTCTGCAGCCGAGGATCGGACCGCCAGGGCCCCCTCCCTCGACCGCCAGCCATCCATCACACAAAGACCTGGCACCAAAATCTAACTACGCATCAACCAAAATGCTCCTACTGGATTCAAACACCAGCACAGCTTTAAATAAAAACCATATATCCATTGGATTAATGTATGTTTATCATGTTTTCCATCATCTGCACTTCAGATGTGTATTTTCAAAGAGGTCAAAAGGTCATTTCCATATGCACTTTGTGATGCACCGCTGGGAGAAAAGGTTGGAGGGAAATTAATTCCCACACACTCCTTCCAGCGCAGTTAATGAAAAAGGCTTCACTGGTCGACCTTTAAAAACACAATATTCACATTTTTTAATGCCAGTTATGCAGCGTTTCATTCTGATATGCTGGTACTGATGGAACAGAATGCAAAACACTTGAAGTATCTTTTTATATTTTATTTATTTTTTAAATCACGACAATGACAATAATATCAGAGAATCAAAAGAAAAAAAATATGACTTTTTCTCAGAATAAGAATCCTTAGATTGTTCATGCAGACAAATCAAGTCTTTTAGATGAAGAGCCAGTTTACTAATCTCATAACAAGAAGGAGACAGTTATGGGATTGTAACTTGTTAGCATATTAAGCTGATGCTAACAACATAACTTACATGCACCTAAGAATATATTGGTTTTAACATAGATGGACACAGATTCAGAAATCTGAGAAAAAAAGTCAAAATTCTAAGATTTAAGTCGGACGTTTGAAGATAAAACTCTGAATTCTAAAAAAATGTGAGATTTCTGAGGGGGAAAAAAATCAAAATTCTGAGATTAAATTTGAATTTTGAGAAAAAAGTAAAGATTCTGAAATATAAATCAGAATTCTGAGATTAAAATCAGAATTCTGAGAAAAAAAACTGAATTCTGATATTAAAGTCAGAATTATGTGGTAAAAACTCTTAACTTTTAGATTAGAGTCAAAATATTGGGAGGCCAAAATCTAAATGCTGAGAAAATGTCAATTCTGAGGAAAAACAAAACAAATCTAACTTTTTTTCTTCAGTGGCTTTTATCCTCTTGCATAAAATAAATACAAGAACAGGATCAGTTGGATAAATATTTTTCATCTCAGTTTCATGTCTGAGCTTCAGTGGCACAAAATGTTAAATCTTCTCAGGAACCCAAACATTATTCACCTCAGAGGAATGAAACCAATTAACAGTAATTGTATTAGGTTGCTGCAGCTACTTCGGCGGTAAAAACATCCTCGTTAGTCTCTTCAGGACGAGGAAGTGCGAGTCGAAACACGAAGGCAGAAATAAAATCCGAGCCTCAGCCGGGTTCCTCTGACGCCTCGATTCACCGGAGCACGAGAGCGACGGAGGCGACCAGAGGCAGCAGGAGGTCAGGGCGCACACGGCCGCCTCCTGAGGTGAGAGTCGCCCCATACTGATCCAGGAGCTGCAGGGCCACGCCGTTGGTCCAACCAAAGCCCAGCTGCAGCAGGAGGAGAGGAGGGATGAGACGCAGCAGCAGCAGCAACGTTAGTGTTGCTTCTAGTTTTATAAGGAGCATCAGACAGACAGACAGCCAGAGACGTGCTGCTCAGTCAAACGAGACTTTTTGTCATTAACTAGCTACAGGGAAAAGAATAGTTATTATTGAATATTTCAAAATATTATAAAGACCTGGATCGGCACAGATGTTCCAGCGGTTTGCTTTTTGAAAAAGAAAGAAAAACGATTAGCCAGTGAAAAATTCAAAATGGCTGCTAAGGTTGTCATGGAGAATATATTTTTATACATAACAGAGCCCATAGATATTATATTTACTGATCAATTTAGATTTTTCAAGATGGCCATTATTTCTGACATGGAAAATGTATTTTAGCACAAAATCATCCAATATTTATGACAAAGTAATACTTCTGCAATATATCTACTGATAATTTATTATATTTTTTAAGATGGTTGTTATGGAAAATTGATTTTTGCACTAAATTTGCCATCATAGACGAATCATTTGGTGTCAAATTTTTCATAATTGGGCACCAAATTAGCAATCATAGTATAATTTTTAAACTTTCCAAGATGGCCACCAGGATTGTTATGGAAAATGTATTTTTGCATTAAATTTGCTAATATTTATCATAAATTAATACTTCTGGTGTCAAATCATTCATAATTGGGCTCATAGTCTTGACTTTTACTGATAATATGTAAGTTTTTCAAAATGGCCACCATGGTTGTCATGAAAAATTTTCTACTTAAGGTAACAGATACCTTCAGATTGTGCTATAAAATAATCAAAAGTGCTTGGAAAATAAATAATAACTCTTCAAAGTAAGACCTTCTCTACAGTGTTTCTTAATTTATTGACGTTTCCAGTCATTTCAGCCCGGCGGCCATTTTGTTCTGGACTTATTTTTCCTTATTAATGACCCAGTTTGTACAAATCTTCATCTGTCAGATGATTACGCTCCTGTTTGTCTTTTGAAAACTTTGAAACTCAGAAACGTTCATGATCAGTTTAACCCCTTTACGCTGCAAAACAAGTAGAAACCATCACACCTCCACCACCGTGCTTCACAGTTGGTATGTGGTACTAAGCACTGGAGCCAGGAAATTTATAGTAATAATAACATTTTTGGGTCACCCAAAAGCTGCAATTCTTCCCTACCATTCCCACCGCACTTCTTCCTTCCACTCAATTTTCTGTTGAAGTGTTTTGATTTTACAACCAGCTTCTTCAGCAATGACGTTTTATGGCTTCCCTTCCTTTCTGAGTTTTTTCTAAACATCTGTGCCGTCAGCCATTTTCCCTATTTTGGTGTTTTCCTTCCCTTTCACCTTTACTGGATCAATTCATAAAACTCAAGTGAAATTGGCGTAAAATACAAACTGGAAACATAACGAGGGAGTCACCTGAACGTCGTATTCTCCACCTCCGCCTGGTTTTCCGTCTCCGTTCACGTCGTACTGTTGGGGCGGAGACGAATATTACACCACGCGCCATCTGAGCGCCATCTGAGCTCCGAAGCAGCACAAACACGCTCACCTTTTCAAACATGGCTTCGTGTATCTCATAGGCCCGCCAGTTCGTTTTGATCCAGCGCTGCGCCAGATCAAACGCCAGCTTCTTTCCCTCCTCTGAGGACAGTTTGGACAAACCTGGAAAAGCAAAATCTTTCCTTTTTTTAACATAAAACACTCAAATATTTTTGTCATCATATTTTTGTCTTTGTTTTTTTTTTTTACAACAATGTAGCACAAAAAAATCTCAGAATACAAGACAGCAGGCGAGATTTGGTTTTTCATGGCCCAGTGGTGCATTTTTCTTATTTTTCTGATCCAATCTGTTGCCTGATTTCAATGCAGGTGAGCATGTATTTCATGGACTGAAAGGAAAAAAATCCCCCGAAGCAGGAAGAAAATAGAGAGAGCTGCTACACAGGCTCCATCAGAGCATCACTGAGGAAGATGCCAGATAAAAAAAAATGACAGGAAACAATCCCTCCAGCTGTGTGTCTGATGTGAATGTAATAAACACATTTAAATGGAAACCAAGTGTGATGAATCGAGAGCTAAAAGTGGGAGGTTTGGCCGTATTTCCACTAAAAATAGCAACAAATGAGCTTAAATATTCATTTTTCCAGATTTTTTTTTTAGTACAAATCCACAAGAAAAATGAGTCAAATAATGTGAATTTGCTGCATGAGGTTCCAGGAAGTTGTTGTTTTTATTTAACTTTATGTTCTCTTTTGTTTCCCACCTTCGATGAGCATGTGCTGCAGAGGCGGCCAGGCGTTGGGATAGTCCCACTGCTGCCCAGAGTCCCTCAGTGACGTCGGCACGCCGTTGGGGAAGTCCAGGGCGCCGCTGGCCTGCGCAGACGCCAGAGGAAGAAAACGAGAAGCCTTGAAAAAGCCTTGCGGTGCGACAGTGCCATCTGCTGGCGCAGACGGGAATTGCTCAGAAAGAAACCGTTGCACCTTTCATCAAACAGATAAAATATCAATAAATAGTCTTAACATTTAATAACACTGAACATCTCTTCACTCCAGTCCAGGATTTCACCATTTTGATTGTTTTGCAATAAAAATGACTGATTTGTGGAGAAACTTTGCAATATTTGCACTTAAGTAAGACAGTAAATTGCTAATAAGGAAACATAAATATACATTTTTCTTTGGAAAATGTTTTTGGTGACATTTGGTGGAAAGATATTTGGATCATAACAAAAAGATTTTGAGATTCTGCACAGATGTAATTATGTTAATTGTTTCCATTTTGCCACAACTCTGAGAAAACTCATCTTTTCTGGGATTATATTAAATTAAATCTATATTATGTGGTTTCTCCTGTTTGAACACTCCATTCAAGCAAAATGTGATTAGCTAAAACCCAAGCTTAATGCAATTTTTGCCTATTTTTGTATTTTTTTTAATGTACTGTAGCAATATAACAGCTTTAAATTTAGATTTTGCTGAATTTCTAACAAAATCTGACAAAAATATTATATTTTTCTACTTTGTAATTTTTTCTCTCTTGCTACTTATTTTCATTCCATTCTTCTAATTTGTTGCACATATTTTGTCTAAATTAAATACAAAATAATAATAAAAAAGACCAAGGCAGCAGTGAGAAATACTGCCCCCTTCAGGTGGGAGTTAGAAGGTCATTTAAAGTCAACGTTTGACTCTTTTTGAGAAAGACTTGTCATAAACACATTATCTTTTATTTTGTTTTGCTTTCTTCCACAGTTACAAAGAAATTAAGTTTCTTATTGAAGAATTAGCACAAAAAAACTGCAAGAATCTGTTTAAGTCGTGTGAATTTTGCCGATTGAAAGTAAAACTGAGGAAGAGTAAAAATTTACTCGAGAACGAATCAAATTATCAGTAATTTGATATTTAAAAATTGCATCATCAGATGGACCAAAAAATAAAGTTAAGTGGAAATTTTGGTATTTTATGGACAAAAAGAAACTAATAAAAGTAACAAAAAAAATAATAAAATCAGGCAAAAAGTAAAAACTCTAAATCCATTTCTTTCAATAAAAAAACTTTTGAATGAAACTTTAACAAAAGCTGCAGGTCTGTGTCTGTTTTTCATTCAGTGAGTAGAAAATCCAGATATTTTACTCAAGTAGAAATACTTCCTAATAAAAGTGCAATGTAGTAAATATCCTGCTTTGCTTCGTTTCCATCCATCCAGCGAAACAAATCAAAGTACTGAATGTTTGACTCTGATGCAGAGTGAAGCTGCCCACCTTCAGGTACTGCAGCGCCTTCTCCCCCATGTCTGGCTGGGAGTAGCACTGGGCCCAGAGGGGCGCCAGGTTGGACAGGTAGAAGTCAAAATGTTTGGAGTTGGTCAGCAGGTTGTAGTCGAACCACGCTCCCCTCTCTGCGTCCCACAGCAGTGCCTCCATCGCCTGCGTCCTGCGCGCCGCCGCTCGCTCGTACAGAGCAGCCGACTCGTCGTTACCTGTCGAAGGTCGGCATCGTCACGCACAAGCAAAATAATGTAATCTTACATCGATGTAATGTCATCGATGTAAGTAGCAAAAAATATCAGGCGAAAGAAAATGTTTCCAATTCAGTTTCTTTCAACACAAACTGCGGGTTTGCGTCTGGTGAATTTCTGGTTAAAACATGTTTGTGGGTAAAGGATCCAAAAATATTCTCCTAAATATGCTAGAAAAATAAACCCAGAAATTTTCATAATATTTCTGAGTTTGGAAAATTTGCTAGGAAAAAAAATACAAAAATTTCCTGCATAAAAAATACGAATGTTTTTGAGTTTGAAAAGTCAAAGATATTAGTCAAATAATTTTATAATAATTTCTGAAATTTTCCAGAAAATGAAGAGAATCTTAAGTTTTAAAAATGGAAAATTAGATAGAGGAAACCCATATACTTTCAGATTCAACTAAAACAAAAAAAAGAAAAAAGAAAAATAAAGTATATATACAGTTTGAAAAGTAAAAAAAATAAGTCGAAAAAAAAACAAAACAATTTGAGAATAATCTCAGAAATTTTCAAGAAAAATTTATAAAATTTCCATGTTTGAAAAATAGGATATTTGCTTGAAAATTGATCTCATAATTTATTTTTTAGAAAAAAAGACATTTCTAAGCTTCAAAAGCCATAAATTTGGTTACTAAGAAAAGTAGAAATTAAAAATGAGAAATTTCTGATTTTGAAAGTTTGAAAATTTGCTTGAAAAAAACACCTGCCACATACTGAGATTTATATCAGAAAATTTCTAGAAAAAAAGGGAAAGTTCAGAGTTTCAAAAGACGAAATGTTTCAACTTTTATTCTTCATTCAGTGAAGTTGCTGACAGTAGAAAATCCAGGAAGTTTTCTCAAGTAAAACTGAAAAGAGCAGCATAAAATATTCTTAAAAGTACTTTAAATGGAAAAAGTTACTCAAGTAAATGTAACTGTTAGTCTTTATGCAACAAAAAAGCTAAGTGGAGGTCAGAGGTCAGGGTCTCACCCAGCAGCTGGTGGAAAGAGGCCAGGAGTCTCTCGTTGCGGCAGAGCAGGGCGTTGAGGTCGACGGGGAGGATCTGGCTGGTCCGCGTGTCTCTCAGCGTCCCGCTGTTCTGGCCGCTGGCGTTGATGAACCAGCGGGACGTGAAGTCCCAACCGGACTCGGCGCCGGCCTTCAGATCCACGAACAGCCACCGCCTGACCTCTGCAGAGAGAGAGAGAGGCGGGGAAACACTCACACTCAGGGCCGTTTACCTCGCATGCATCACTCCGCTGCTGCAGGGAAACTACAACCTTTAGAGAGAAAGACAAAACAGGAAGAGGAAGTAAAAAGAAAAACTCAGAAAGTTTCAAAATTTAAAGAAAAAACAAGAGAATAGAAAAGGTGACAATTTGGTAGAAAAAACATAAAAAATGTGATTAATCTCAGAACATGTCTAGAAAACACAAAGAAATATCAGAATACCTACAAGAAAAAACTCAGAAATTTTGACATAAATCTCAGAATTATTTTACAAAAAAGCCAAACTTCCTAAGAACAAAACTCAGAGAATTTCTAGTGAAATTCTTTGGAAATTATTAGTTTTTCTGGACAATTTTTGACTATTTAAAATTATGAATTTTCCAAAGTTTTTTAAATTTTAGACTTTGTTTTCTTTTCTAGAAGATTTATGAAATTAATCCAAATATTTCAGTTTTTTTTGACAAATTTTCTCCCTTTTATTCCCCATTTACTCCATCTACAATTTTAATAAACTGTTAGAGTGAAGGAATGAGAAGTTTACATCTGCTCTGCAATTTTAGTCTAAAAAGCAAAAATGTCTCTTCTAAGGAAGAGGAATAATAATTTAAATAATTTATTACCATCGGAGAGTCCTTCGGCTAATTCCAGATCATCTGTGTACGATTCAGGCCTGGAAGCAAAACAAATTAATGTGGGTAAAAATGCACATCATTTTGTTTTTTTACACAAACTTTTCTGCTTAGGATCTGGAAGATCAGAGTTTTTAACTTTTCTAAGTCAAGCTGTGGAAAGTTTCTCAGAAATTTCCAGATTTTTCAGGAACATTTCTGAGATTAATAAAAAGAAATTTTCTTGTTTCTCAGAAAGGAACATTCTGAAAACTTTCCACTTTTTAAATGTAAGTCGGAAATTTTCTATATTTTCTTTTCAGTAAATTATCTAAGTATTTTCCCACAAACTCAGATATTTCCTTAATTTTTTAGAAAATTTCTGAGATTATCCTTAATATTGTTTTTTTTTTTTTGGGGGGGGGGAGGGAATTTAAATTGTTCAAACTCAGAAATGTCCTCATTTTAACCCTAAATTTAAACTCAAACTTTCAGTTTTTTTAAAACATATAAAAATTTTATGACTTCCAACTCAAAAATGTTCTTTTTTCTAGAAAATGTCTGCGATTCATACAATTTCTATTTTTTCAACCAATTTTGGACTTTTCAAATGTAGAAATCTATTCTTTTACTGGTATTTTTCTCACTTTACTCTCAAAATAAAAAAAATGACGCAAATATTCCACTTTTCAAAATTGCCTTTATTCTTTCTGAAACTTTTTGAGATTCATCTAAACATTTGTGGCAGACATTCACTCCTCGTTCTGGTGCTGATAAATCACTGTGATCTGTTTGAAATCAGGTCGTTACCTGGGCAGGTCCGCCTCCACGTTGAACCGGTTCAGAACGTGTTCTGACCCGGTCACCGTCACTGATCGGTTCTGCATCCAGAACCGGTACTCCGTCTCCAGAGCCGGTAGAGCTGCTCTAAAAATGAACGGGAGGCGACGTGTAAGCGCAGGGCAGCCTGAAAAGTGCCGCCGCCATTTTGTTTTTGTAATAATGGCGTCCTTGGGAAAGTCACCGGAGGAACTGCTGGTTGCCGGTTGCTCCGTGGTAGCTCTCCGCCATCAGCGGCAGGAAGGGCGGCTGGCTGCGCCGCTCGTAGTAAACCCGCCCGCCGTTGGGAACGAACCCGTATCTGAGGGAGAACCACAAGAAATGTATCGTTAAATCTTAAAAATGTCTCTGGGTCGACGGAACCGAATATCTTCCGTCTTTGACATGTTTTTTTTAGAGTATTAGGGCTGTTCTAAAAAAAAATACACGAATAAAATGACGAGAATAAAGTCGAAATAATACTAGAAAATGTACTCAGAGTACATTTTTATGTACAGTTAATAAAGTTGTGTGAAATCTGTCAAGTGACGCACGTGCGTCAGATGTTTGCGTCAACTTTTATAAAATATTACAGCACAAGAAAGTAAAGCCAAACTGAAAAAACTATATGAAAATATACAAAAGTCAATGCAAAACAATACGAGAATAAATTTGCGATAATACGAGAATAAAGTCAAAAGAATACTAAGTATGGTCAAAATATTTGGAATATTTATTATTATTATTATTTTCTCAGTGTGAGAGGAGAGTCTTGATTGGTTGTTGTAATTAATCTTTTATTATTGTGTTTTAATAAAAGATGAGGAAACGATCTGACGTCATATTACGCACCGACAGTCTCATCTTTACACACAGAGATAATTAAACCAATTAATACAAATCTGCCAGGTTCTAATCAGGTCGATTAGTGAGATTTTACCCGATTTCAGCTTGATAACGGCGAGACGCGCATTTTCTGTTTGGCTTGTGGAATAAAGAGGAAATAAAACAAAACTGAAAATGGGATTAAGTTTCATTATTAGGTAAAAATAATGATGGGTAAAAACAGATTATGGAGGGATTTTCGTCAAAAAATGACGAAAAACAACAAAACTCAAGCCAGCGGCCTAAACTCAGATGTTCTTTCATACCTTTCGACCAGGAAGAGGAAGTTCTGAATCATGCCGTGAGCCGTGTCCGTCATCTCCGACAGAAGGAGCCCGTTGATGACCCAATAGGAGTCCCTGTCGGGTGAGAGGGGAGCGTCCCGATTGGCCGGTGAGGTCAGAGCGGGCAAACTGACGGCACCGATTGGTCAAACTGCTGGCTCACCAGTAGTAGAGCTCCCGGAAGCGGCCGCCCGGAACCACAACCGGATGTGGGGTGAAAATCTGAGAGTAGAGCTCCGGGTGATCTTTGACACTGATTTTGATCTGAAGGAGAGATTTGTTGTCTTGCATAATCCCTCATTTCTTTATCGGGATTAAAACGATTAATCCCAATTAAATAAGTTTGTATTCTGGCTGAAGTGGGATGAAATGTGGAACAGTTAAATACTTTTGCAGGGAGCTGCGTGTGAAAACATGCTGATCTTGCTAATGCACGTTTACTAAGGTGAAACTGAAACCCATGTGGGTGAAGAAGCAGGAAAATCGTCACCTTTCTGCCCAGAGATTTCCACAGGCCGTGGATCTGCTCCGCCCACAGCCTCAGCGGCTCGTCTGCGATTCCACTCAGGAACCGCGGCCTGCCACAGAAAGACGCCTCCTGTTAACCAGACATCACGACAAAATACACTGATCTGTACGGAAGACAATTAGAGCCACTGGGGGGAAAAAAAAACTGACATTTTTTCACAAAATTATATAATTTTCCTCACAATTCATTTTTTTTCCACTAAATTCTGGCTTTTTTTTTTGTTAGAATGCAAATTTTGTTTCGCAGGATTAAAAATTGTGAGTTTAAACCTCAAAATTCTGCTTTTAGTCGCAGAATTCCAATTTTTTTCTCCTAATTTTGACTATAATCACAGAATTCTGACATTTTTGTCTCAGAACCAGAACTGTTTAAATTGTTTATGCACTATCAGTCAAATCTAGCAGGTAAAGTTGGAACAGGTTAAAATGCATGTATACAAATGAAAAAAAAAGAAAGAAAAATAACCTGATTATTCTTATGTACAAACAACATAATTGGGAGGCACCTAGAAATGTTTGGCTACTTATTCGGACGTTGACATAGTTGATGCAGGATCTGAATTCTGAGATTAAAGTATTTTACTGGAACGTTTTGTTTTTTTTTGGCCCTGATTTTGTTCCGTAGACCTGAGTGAAACTCACTTTTCCCGCCAGTCGGTCGGCGTCCACGTCTCAAACTCCGTCCCCGGTTTGTCAAAGTTTGCCTCCAGGAACTCCTGGAGCTTCTCAGTTGGGATGCTGGAGTTCGGCCACTGGTTTAACAGCGTTTGAAAAGACGCCAAAACTTCACCTGTGGAAGATTTTTAAAAATAAATGACGAGAAAAGCAGGAATCATGGATCTGTAATCAAAAACGGTTTTATGGAGGCACAGACTCACCAGGAGGCGACTTCAGCTTCATGTCCACAAAGTGTTTGTCGTCGTTGAACAGCTTTGCTTCCTGCATGTGATGCAGGATGGGGCCTGAGCAGAAGATTTCACTGAAACAAGGAGGTGAAACCATTAAGAACTCCAACTGGAACAGAATAAACCCCAATGGAATTGTACATAAGCAAACTGGGACAAAAGGTTGATGCAATAAATTTAAATAAAATTACTAAAACTTTCTATTTCAAGCACATTTTCTCAAAAATCGATATTTTGTCAAGTTAGAAACAAGAAAATGTTGCGTATTTCACTGGAATATTATGAGATTCATTGGAAAATGGATGCAACAAATTTGTTTTATTTAACTTTGCCTCAGAACAAATACATGCCTAAGATTTAGTTTCTCAGGAAAAGTAAATGTCACATAAAAATAAAATGAAATTATTTTTTGTAGAAAAATAAACACATTTTTGTAGTTTTTCCATTTTCTGTCAGAGAATAATTGGATTAAATTTCTACAAAAAATGACAAAGTATCCATCTTATGTATAATTTTAGTTTTTCTTGTCTTTGTTGGAAACTATGTTCTTTATATACAAAATTACATCAACAGCTCATAGAAGAAAATATGTTCATTTTCTTTTTGCAAACATTTTTGGCTGTAATTTGACTTTATTTTGGTGAAGTGAGAAAAATAAATGATTAAGGTTTCAGACACCTGATGTAGGGGAAGAATAAGCCACACTATGAAATCTTATGTGCACTTTTACATGTTTGTCTTGTAAAATAATCGTGCTTCCACCACATCCTTCTGCTGCTGATGTGAGGAGCGGCCATATTGAAACACAAAGTCAGCCTGAAATCATAACTGGTGTTGCTCCCAGTTTCCCAGTGGGAAATCTGGCTTCCAAGGACGTTCCAGTCGATTTTTCTAACTTGAAAGGCAGCACTTTCAACATATTTATTTTTTTTATCTAGTATAGTTTTGCACCACCCATTGGGAGATGCCGCCCTGGGCAACTACCATATGAACATGCACATATGAAAAACCACCAAGAGTCCAAATTTCTAATTGACTCTTTGCAGTAATTTATGTAAAAGGAGTTATATATATATATATATATATATATATATATATATATATATATATATATATATATAATTCTGACATTTTAAGGTTTGCAAGTGACTGAAATGGTTTTAGTTATGCAAACTTAATCAAAATTACTAAAAAAAACCCAAACATTTTTAACCCCACAATCATTGACTTGCATATATTCCTTATGCTCCATATTTAAAGCATTTTTACCTAAAAGTACAGGTTTTACTACATTTCCACATTGAAACAACTCCTCTGCTTGTTAAATATTTTTTTTCCAGTTATCAGAATGGACTTTGATGTGAAATTAAGAGCTGCAAATCATTAACAGATAGTTATTAAACCTTCACTTGTGTCATCAAGATCAAAGGCTTTCAAAGTCACTGGTAAAATTTTAAGTAAATTAAAAAACAGAACTAAAAGCAATACAACATGAACTTTAACCCTCAAAGCCAATAGAACTAAATAGTTGAACAAATGCTTCATCTTTTTTTTCTAAGTTTAAATATTACTTTTAAGCAAAAAGCAAAAGTTAAACTGTATATTTTTTAAAGTAATTATCTTACCTGTCGCATGGAGGAGGCAATGAACATTTCACACAAATAAACAGAGTTATGAATGAAAAGCAGAAGACAACACGATTCTCCATTTTGAGCGATGAGTCCAAGTGGCAGATCGAGCTGCAGGTCTGTTTATATACCTGCCCCAAAGTGCGCCGCACTGCCCTCTAGCGTCCGCTCAACAAACTACACACTCCAGACTTTTAAATTTCAGTGAGTTTATTTATCCAAAACAAAACAAAAAAAACTTCCAATCCAATATTCAATATCCATGACTTCTTGAACATGTAAAATTTTCCTCACTGAAAATCGCCAATTACATCAAATTTAAAAAGAAAGAAAAAAATAAACACAGGCTTCAATAAATTTACTTAAATTTGGAGACTTTAAGTTAAGGTGGACTCCATTTGAACACGCCATTAGAAAACAAATTGAAGGGGCAACTCTTAAATATTTTTATACCCGTTACCAAAACTTTGGATTCGTCTTTAGGTGCCCCCTTATCCCTCCCACAGTGAACCGATGCACTTCCGGTTGTGACGTTCTCTGTCCGGCACTGTGACCGTTGAGGCTACAAAAAAGTGCATCAGGGCAGCAAATGCGCCAAATTACCCACCCAATACTATTTTTATAAAAAGACCTTAAAGACGGAGACAATTTGGATTCAAAATTTATTAACTTTAGCCAGCGAATCCAGGGTAAGATGCTCTTGTCTCGGTCTTTAGGGTTCAAAATGGCGGCCTGCGCCAGCGCGGCTAATTCCAACCGAAGCATTTTAGCTTCGAGTCGGCAGCCGTTACTAACGGCAGGAGGCCAGGAAACAGACAGCTGCCGGGTGTCTGAACAGCATCCCTGTTCGCTCGGTAATGATTAGGTCGCTTTTGATTTTTAGTTTTTTATTTACCCCCACACCCCCAAAAGAGAAACAAGTCCCTCTCCTCAGAGTTGGCCAAATTGAAGCCACATTTGCGACGATTTCTGGGACTACAAAACCGAGAGAACAGGGATCAGGGCTCCGACCAATGAGAATGGAGCTTTAATTGGAGGAATAATTCTCATTGGCTGGATCAGTTGGAAGCATCTCACCAGAATCAAATGGGGAAATTTGTTGCAAAAACAACAAAAAAATGTTTTTGTCAAACTGAGACCAAAATCCCACAATATAAAGCAACGACGGGCTGAGCGCGGACGCCACAGGCTCAGCAGTACAACTACTCTTTAATTTTTTTCTTTTTAGGCCAATTATTCAGCAGTTCTGCACCATTATAATATTTATGTCACCAAAGATGTAAATAAAGCAGTCCAAGTTTGAGCAGATGGAAGAAACCACCTTCCTCTGTGTTCCACCTTCCAACCTGCTGAGGTTGTTTTGATTAAATTCCTGCTACATTTTAAATCAGATGGTTCATTTTGATGCATTTGGCGAGCATTAAAAAAAAAAAGAAGGGGGATGGACAAAACAGCTTCTGCCCAACAGGAATTTATGTAGCCAAGCTTAAACATGGCATAAATCAACGTAACAGCTTCCCTTCAGAAAACAAAAACGGCCAATTAAGCTGCACTGCAGCAAGAAGCATGACTACGCCACAGATTATTCCTCTTCAAAACACCAGCGATCGCTTTGACAAATCAGTTTTTGGAGGCGGTTTAACAAACCTGCGCTGGTGACACAAAAAGAAAAATAAGATTAAAGTCATCAATCTAAATACAGAAGTTCAGGGAAGCCATCTTGTTGACTCTGTGCTTGTTAACACTGGTAGCAGGAGAGAATAAGGGTGACATTTAAACACTAAGTGCATGTTGAAAGAATTGCACCGTCAAATTTTTAGAGTAATAAAAAAAAAAATTACTGATTACCTCAAAAACATTTCATGAACACAGTCAAATAATGTTTTTGCAAATTTTTCCTTCTCTAAAATTATAAATAAACTCCTGGGCCGAAGTTGCAGGACAAACAAACTGGCAGTAGAGGGAAAAAGATCTCCAGTGCTAATGGGCAGCTTTCCAGTTCGCCAGCCAGTTACTATTACAATTTCTTTTTTAAAACAATCTTAAAATGAAAGTATGTACAGGAAGTGAAAGCTGAGCCCCGCATGTCGGCTTCGTGTCTCGCAAAATAAGGTACGACGAAAAAGAAAAGAAAGACGAAGGAACGCCACTGGAACAGGAATCCTCACAAATCGCGGTGTCTTGTTTTTTTCCATTTTTTTACGCTGCTGCTGCTTTTTTTTCCCTCTCTTGACTTTTAGTGTTCTGATGCTGAAGACGAGCGGAAAGGAAAGGGGTCAGGGTCTCTTGGGAGAACGAGCTTCATCACAAGCAACCGAGCAGTCTGGTTGGTCGTCTCTTGGCGAAGAAGAAAAAAAATAATAAATCCAGTCTGTGCTCTTTGAAAATCCAAGTTTGCCCTCATTTATCCGCCAGACCAAACCGGTTATGAACCCTCCTCATCTGCTCGGACGCCGACCGGAACCAATTCTCAATCAGGTGAGCATGAATATGGAGCGATTAAAGATGGCGGGGTTATTACTTCGGAACGTGTTGAAACTGCTCATTAAGGCACTTGTTACAAATTGGTGAAGAGTTGTGAAGGTGAAGATGTGCAGAATGGAGGGCGTCCTTTCGGGGTCGGAGGTGGATGTGGGTCCGAGTCGTTCCGGTTGTTTTTTTATTTTTTACGTTTGCGCCGATGTCGTTTCCGTTTTGGTCCCGTTCTTTCCTCCTGCCGCTCGCGTCTTCATTACGTGGCGGAAGCAGCGCGAAGCCTCTCAGTGAGGCCAGTGAGTTCTTCCAGAAAGTGTCCCGTCTCCAAACGCGTTCCAGGTGGCGGCATCCGAAAAAGAAACTGTACACGAAAAAAGGTTTAGAAAAAAGAATCCAAGACAAGCAGGGGGTGGAGAAGGGTTTGGAGGAGAGCGGACGCCGATCTGTGGAAGACAGATTACAATCAAGTCAGACAGGAAATTAGAAACTTTTTCTAAAATGTAGAAACTTTCAAAAATATTCACACTGTTCACATTCTAACCAGGAATTCACCGATCCACTTTTTTTCCCCCTCTTCTGATGCCGATATCTGAAGTTTAGTATCGGCTAATATTGGACCGATACAGAAAATGAGCTGAATTCACTTAAACGTTTCTTTATGGAGGCACTGATTTATCAGCGCCGATTTCAGGTGATCGGTCGATGCGTGCACGTGATTCAGATCTCGTCTACCTCAGCAAAAGTCTAAAACTCAGAAACCGAGAGGTTTAACTGAGACCCACTAAGTCATTTCTACACGTTTCCAGTTAATAGTCACCTCACCGTTGCCAATTCAGCAACTTTCTTACTGTATTTAGCAGCATTTCAGATAACTGGCATTGCTTGAATCCACAGGTCAGGATTTTTAAGCATCTGAAACTGTGATCAGTTCACCCCTAGTTTCTTTTCTAAACATCAAATCAAATGTGTAATCATTTCTATCAACAGTGCATCAACAACACACGCTGTGATAAAGCAATGAGAGGTGCAGTTTTCTTGCACACAGACCTTAAAAAAAAAAGCCTGACCTGCCAATTCAGATTTTGGTCAATGCCGTTTCTTTTTACCCCCATCTGAAATTTTGATAAATATGGTAAGAAAGTTGCTGGGTGTCAGCAGTGGGGTGACTATTGACGCAATGTGCAGACATGATTTTCAGATGTTAAGATCGGCTTCACGGACAATTATCAGCCCATCACCCAGAATTAAGAAAATCGCTCAATTTATCGTCTGACTGATTCACCTGTGCAGAACAGTCAAAGTAAAATAAATTAGAAACTGGCAATAACAAGTTGAGTCTTCAGTCCAACATGGAAAAAATAAAATTCAACAAATTTTCTCTCAAATGGCTTAGAAAATGCTATTAGGAAATGTAAATTATAAAGGATGACATCACTGGAAGCACAAAGCATAGAACTATACTGAATAGATCTGTCCTTGTGGATCAGACATACTAGCTTTGTTGCATTGATGATATAATTGAGCAATTTCAACAAAACATCAATTTAGGAAAGATTTATTTTTTAATAACATTTTAGAATATTCTTAAATATTTGAAATTTGTTTATTTCTCTAAACTGCACAACTGGATGTTGGAAAACCACAAAGAAGACGACAGGAAGTAGCTGAAGCATCACGCCACTGCATGTTTTTAATGACTTGTGATGTGAACAAACTATTCATGTGCGATTTAAATTGTGTTTATTGAATGGAAACAACGCAACTGCAAAATTAGTAAAATTGCCCAACATTCGCAGAATATTGACAAAGTTTTGCACATATTTGTAATAAAAACGCAGCTACTGCCACCGATACCCGATCTCAAGGATTGAAACCGATATCGAATCGGTGCAGCTCTAGTTTAGAGGGTCACATAAAAAGCTCTGGCGGGCCGTATTTGGCCCCAGAGCCTTCAGTTTGGCACACGCTTGCTGTACCTGCAGGCTCACTGCTTGACCTCTTCGCCGCTCTCGCTGTGGTACTCGGCCACATACAGGCTCTTGTCGATGATGCCGGGGATGGGCTTGATCTCCGTCCCCAGCTGCTCCTCGATCGCCTTCAGGTTGAAGCGGTCGTCGTACGTGATGAGGTTGATGGCCAAACCAAGATGGCCGAAGCGTCCTGGGAATCAAGCACACGGATCGTACGCTCAAGCATTTTCAAGGCAAGTTTTCCCACAACACTTTGGATATAACACAAACTAACTGAAGATGACGTTCCATTTCACGACCGTGTAATTTATCACTTATCTCTGAAATGGTGATAAATTACCATTTCATACAGCAGGAACTACTAAGATAAAGCTAAATTTTATTTTAAATCAAGTTGATACACTTGGCTGGTCTGTGATTCTACTTCAGACTGTGAGGAACAAATGTGAATGTCATTTTATTCTGTGTGTGAAAACATCTTAACTGTAAATGTTTTCCAAAGTCAGGCTTTTAAATGAGTGTTGAGCTGCACGTTATCAAAAAAAATGCTACTCGAATTTCAAGCATTTCAGGATTTTAAACGCACTGTAGAGATTTAAAATCTTAAAGTTACTGAAACAACATTTACTCCAGGAATAAACTCTCCTGTTCTTACCAGATCTCCCAATGCGATGAAGGTACGTCTCTCCCAGTTTAGGAAAATCAAAGTTGATCACAACATTCACAGCTTG